GCAGCAGCAGCAGCAGCAGCAGCAGGTGGAGGAGGAGGAGGAGGGGGAGGAGGAGGAGGAGGAGGAGGAGGAGGAGGAGGAGGAGGAGGAGGAGGAGGAGGAGGAGGAGGAGGAGAAGGGGCAAGGGCACTGTGACTGTGCGACGAGCACCGCCTGGAGCAGGGAGGCGAGGGAGCAGACAGCCGAAGCCCGCGTCGGTCGCGGGCGCTGGCAAGTATCCGCGGAAGGAGAAGGGGGGGCAATGGAGCCCAGAAACGAATCGAGATGTCGGCTCGGCGATCGAAATGAATCGGATCTGAATCGGATCGACGGACATCGACAGCCCAATCGGGAGAAGTCGAATCGGCGGAAATCGGCAGGCTAGTAAGTCTCAATTGATAAATCGGAATACAAACCGGAATCCGAAATCAATTCGAATCGGAATCGGAAGCCATCGTAATCGAATCGGATCGAATAGAAGGAATCGAAACAAAACGAAGCGAGGTCGAATCGCAACAAGCCCTGGGGGGCAGCGGGAGCGGCGAAGGACGCGGACAGCGCACAGGACAAGCAGCAGCACGCGCGGGGTGCAGGAGAGGAGACGGCGCGGAGAGGGGGGAAGTGATCGGGTCGGACGAGATGGGGGGGGTAGAAAAAGGGGGGGGGCTTAAAGGCCACGCTCCTTGTTTTTTCTCCTCCGTCTTCCATTCCTCCTCCTCCTCCTCCTCCTCCTCCTCCTCCTCCTCCTCCTTCTCTTCCTCCAGCCTTCGGGGCGTGAGCAAAAACACCCAGCCGCTCCAGCTCCAGAATACCCTACCTAACGCCCTGGACGTCTCTACTTCGCTGGTGGTCGGCGGAATGGCGTAAGCCACTTAGATCAAGGGGGGTCGGAGGCGACGATTGGGGCGAACAGTCCATGGGGGGCAATACATGTAACTATCCGAGGGCGTCGGTGGTCCATGTCTTCGGCGAGGCTCCAAGGCCCGCCCCGGAGCTATTCGCCCCTACCGTCGCCAACTAATGTTAGCGAATCAGGTCACGGAGCTGATGTTCAAGGCGCCTCCCAGCACCGATGTAACGGAGGAAGCGCCAAACAGCGGGGCCAACACCGGCTGAATGCAACAGGCTTGGCACCCGCCCGCCCCCTTCCCTATCCCCCCCCTGCCGCCTGCCCCGAGAGAAGGGGGGATGAGGAAGAGGAGGACAAGAAGGCTGATGGGGGGAGGGGTACAGGGCAGCTGGGCTGTGCATCCACCCGCCAGGTTCTCCCGAGGCCCCCTCCTGGGGGGAAGCGGGGAGAGGAGGGGGAAGGGCAAAGAAAAGGAGAGCAGGGGGGAACGTTGGGGGGTCCACACTTTTTGGCCCTGCGCGCGGCGACTGGGCGGAGAAAGTCTTCGAGCAGCAATCGCAGCGCGCGAGAGACTAAGAGCGCCCGAGCTCTCAGAGACCGCTTGAGGTCCCGTAGCAGCCAGCCGCCCATGAGTTCCACACACACACCCCTAGTCCTCACCCCCCTCTCGAAACGCCCCCGAGCCAGGCGAGGACAAGAAGTGCAATCAGAATCGGCCCTGGGGCCACTTCTGGGGCCCCTCCCCAGGCACGCCCGTCGCCCCTGATCCGAGCCCGCTAAGCTTCCCGAGGGTGAAATTGACTCCTCAGTCGCAGCGGTGGCGAACGAACACCGCGTCCCCAGCCTTAGCGGGGGCGCAGCAGGCGAATTGTACAGTCGCAGCAGGCGAATTGTACAGTCGGGCTTGACTGAACAGGGCACCCGAGAGGACACAAGACTCTTCCGATGTCAACGTGGCCCCAGAGCACCAGAGGACAAGCAGGCTGCACAGGTCGGGATACACAGGACACGAGGGCACCCTCGACTCTTGGCATGGTCGACCTACCCCTCAGGGCCGACTGTACACAAGCAGGCGGGAGACGGGACAGGGCGGCCGCGGAGGAGGGACAGGGACGGCGCGCCCAGGTCATGAAGGGCTCCGCGTGTCGCGCGGCGGCCCAAGAACGAGGCCGAGGCAGGCCTCCATGGAGGCCGAGACGCCTCCCCGCCTCCTCCTGGATCTCGGGCCGCAGATCTCGGCGGCGAGCGGAGGGGGGGAAGCGAGCAGGAGCAGGCCTGCCCTCTCGGAGGGCGGCGGGGCTCCTCGGTGGCCCTCCGGCCTCCCGAGAGGCGCCGGAGAGGGCCCGCCCTTCCGAGAGGCCTCTGCCCCCCGGGGCGCGCCGCCGAGCCGCGGCCGAGACGCCCGGCGCCTCCTCGCGGAATCTCGGGGCACGGCCCAGCTCCCTCGCGGCCGGCCGCTCGGGGCGCGCCGGGCCGTCCCGGGGCGCTCTCGGCGGGGCGCGGCTGCCGGGAGGCACCGCGAGGCTGGAAGACCAACGAGGGCCCACTCGAGATGCCCGAAGACCTCGAGCGCCACTGGCGAAGCACCTCACGAGGAACCAGTGCGGCGGCGACGGACGACGGGCGGCGGCGGTCCGCTCCGACGAACAGCGCCGCCGCCTCGAACCGCAAGAAGGCCCGCGCCGCCTCGTCACCGCTGTGGCCGTTGGGCGGCTTGTCGCGGAGGGCGTACTGGCGGTTGGTGCAACTGCCTGGCGCCCCCGGTGGGTGAGAGGGGGTTGGTGCGGGTCGAGCGAAGACCCGCTATACTGTCGACTCCGGAAAGACTTGCATTTCATGTCGACCCCCCCCCCACACCTCCCCTTCTCCCCTGTCTCCCCCCACCCCCCCCACACACCCGTTCTCCTCAACCCCCCACTCCGCCCACCCACCCAACCCACCTCCACCCCTAGCCTCCGCCACCTTTTCAAACAGCGTTGGTCCTAGAAGGCGTGCAGGTGAGTCCTGGCTTGCGTGAAGTCCAGATTGCCTGATGAGCCTCGCCAAGACACCACCCCATCCCTCTCCATGCAATGGAACGTCCGAGAGTCGAAAGAACAACTGTTGTCTTTCATCGCCAAAAGCGGCGGCCTGTGCTTGCTATGGTTGCACCATTTTCGGCAGAAGTTTCAGAATGGAAGACGGCCCGAGAGGCCCTCAGGATTGCCCCAAGATCGCCCGAGAGGCTTCCAAGATGGCCCAAAGACGGCTCAAGAGGCGCCCAAGACGGCCCACGAGGGCCGACGATGCCTCCAAGACGCCCAAGATAGCCTTCAAGACGACACTGAAGCGCCCCAAGGGGGCCTCAAGACGGCCCAAAGAGGCTCTCAAGACAGCTTCCGACGGCCCACGAATGCCGTAAGATAGCCAAAGGGGCCTCCAAGAAGCCCCCGAAGGCCCCCAAGAGGCCCTTGGATGCCCCCAAGGAGGCCTCCAAGAGGCCCCCAGGAAGCTCCCAAGAGGCCCCAAGAATGACCCGAGAAGTTCCCGAGAGGTCTCCTCATCCTTCTCCTCACCTCCCTCTCCTTATCCTCATCTTCCTTCCCCACGTGTTCCCCGACCGAAGGGCTTCCACAACGGCTGGGAGAACGCATGGTACACTAGCGCAGCCAAACTTTGCCCAAACGTGTGGCCACGTAGGCGTATCCTGAAAGACGGGGGTAGCGAACAATTCGCCGTAGGCGCCTTCGATCAATCAACTGCTATATCGACCGTGTTCTCTCTAGTCGGCCACCGTGCCTCTGGGCACGGAGTGGGCGTGTCCTCAGATCCTTTGCCCAATCCTCCAAGCCTCCATCCTCACTCCTGAGAAGTACCCTGGCCGAAACCCGGGAGACTCCAGGCCAGGTCCCCGCAAGGTCCCCCAGATCCCCCCAGACGCCCCCCAGACGGTCCAAAAGGCCCCGAATCGCCGAAAGATCGGTCCAAGGCGCCCAAGATGGCCTCCAGACTGCCCGAGAGGTCGCTAAGAAGCCCCGAAAAAGCCTTCAGATGCCCTCCGAGAGGGCTACAAGATGCTACAAGAAACACACATCGCCCCATCCGCAGAGGAAAACGTAATTTCGTATACACGACTTTGAGGTCTCACAACGTTCGAAACTGCCCAGGAGGCCCTCCAAATCGCCCCAACACGGTCCAACATGCCCCCAGGATGAGCCCACAACGGCGCCAGAGCGCTGAAAGACAGCCCAAAAGGCCTCTCAAGACGGCTCCAGAGGTTCCAAAAAAATCCAAGAGCGGCACTTCGAACTGCCATGTCTGGCCCTTTCCCGCGAGATCCCTCACGAGACCGCCAGCAGGGCCCCAGGAAGCCCCCAGAAGCCCAAAAGTACTAGCCCAAAAAAGCCTCCAAGAGGCTCCCAAGCGACCCCCAAAGAAACCCTACGACGTCTCGCAGAGACCCGTCTTGTCGACGACCCAGTTTTGTCTGAAGAGTTCCCCACGAAACTATCGACAAGCATGCTCCTTCTCCTCATCCTCCGCTTATGCGCCAATATGGGCCAGCGGAATGAGCGAAGCGATTCGCCGCCCCACCGGGTACGGCGTGTGAGATCCCCGCCGCGTGGTCTGCAAGAAGTACTTTCCCTCCGTCCTCTTGCCCACGCACTCCTCGTATCAAGTCCCTTCCTCAGAGTCCTGGCAACCCCTTCTGAGGTCCTCCCCTGGCCTGCTCATTCCGCCAGTCCGGGGGTCCAAGCTGCGGACTGGGCGTCCGCAGGTGGCCATTTGCCCTCAACTCAAGCAGGCCTTTGCACGGGAGAGTTCCGGACGCCGCGCCGTTCGGGGCCTCTCCAGAAACCCTCCTGGGCAGTCTTCGGAGCCTTGGAGCCCTCTTGGGTTCCTTCGGCCCCTCCTTGGGGCCCTCCGGGACCGTCTCGGACCCTCCCGAAGCCTTCTTCGGGGCATGCTCCGCCGAAAAACTGAGGAAGGCAAAAACATTCAAAAACCAAGAAAATGTTGATGATTTTCGCTGTTCCGGCCTCCTCTTTGGGCCTCTTGGAGCTCTCTTGCAGCATCTTGCGCCGGGGCCTCTCCGGCCACGTTGGAATCTCGATCTACAAGGCCTCCCGGGCCGTCCTGAAGGTCTCCCGGTCTCATCTTCGGCCGTCTGGCCGCCCTTTGAGTCTTTTTTTTTTGCAGGTGCTGCCGGATCAATCGCTTCCAGTTCGGCGCTCGGCTTTGCGAGGCTGGTCGAAGAGGTTCGCAGAAGTTCCTCTGGCTCCCATGTGACCCCATGCACCTAGAGAACCAACCTAACGTGCAATGTCTTGCAGCAGCGACGCCTGGAACACGCAACACTCACAGCTTCATGCACGAGGCAGGGGCGCAGCTGGAGCGGTAGCCCTTGCGCACCCTCGCCGCAACGCCACGCATCGCCACACCTCGGCCTCCAAGTTCCACGGCACGCGCCCTGTCACCTGTAGAGGGGATTCGCGCACTCCCGCGTCGGGTCGGGATCTGCGAGCGTCTGCTCATCAAAAGAGGTGTCGAACTGCGAGGACAGATTTGGCTGATAACTGCCAACCTCCAGACCAGTCCTAGCTACCTCGCAGGAGACGTTGTATGTCCAGGGCATGCTCGGCCAGCAGTCCTTGCAGTGAGAAACGATGCACCAGCGACCTTCGTCTCCAGGCTCCTTGCCAGGATAGCACCTGCCGTCCACGAATGGCAAATAATCGCCACCATCTCGGTCTCCTATCTCGAAATTCTTTTCAACGAAAGGAACTAGATTTGATGTGAGCGTAAACATAACAATTTGCTCCGTATTGTGGGACTGATTTGACATTGCCCATAGCCGACGTGGCAGGGGATCATCGTACATGACGGCTTGCATGGCATCATATGCGGCACCCAAACTCTTCTCGAGATACTTGCGTGGGAGGGCCATGACTTTATCGTGAACGCCACCCCACCAATTGCAATGCTTGAGGACGACTTCTGTGATTGATAACAGCTTGTCTGGCGCCACAGGCCGCAACGCGATGGTGTTGTCACGGACCTTCACCACAATGTCGTATTTACCGCCCGCAGACTCCTCGCTCTTTCGAATAAGCTCCGCGCAATCCTTCTGGTGCCTCAGCTGGCTGGCCACGTTGGCAATATGAGTCTTCCGCTTTGCGTCGTCATCGGGGTGCTGTCTCTTGTACAACTTCGGCCACCGCTCCAAAGTGACGTTCTCGTCCACGTGTGGCCCGAACACTCCGTCTCTGAAATACGGCGCAAACGCTTCCTTCAACCCATCCACATCCAACTCCGATCCGCGGCATTTAGCGCCGTCGACATCAACCGTTATAGGGTTGTTGAAGACTGCGTGATCGTCAATCTCCAGAGACAAGAAAACATCTACATGTGTAACATTGGCGAGCGGATCGATAAGGTTCTGTATCTTACTCTCAATCTCCAACCGCGTCGCTTGGCCCACGACGCACACTGCTGCTCCAAGGCTGGAACCTTCCGTGAGACTAAGTATGTTGGACCTGACTGGCTCGGTACGAGAAACACTCCGTTTGCGAACGGCTACCACACTGAAGACAATGGTCACGACCAGAGTAACAACCACTGCGGCAACACTGGCGACCCGTCCGCCAGAGAAAGAACAACATAAATGCCTCCTCATACGTAATCCGCTTTGAAAACCAACAACCAAGTCACCCTTGGCATGCCTGCCTGCACGGAAAAAAAGTTGCTGATCTGGAGGGACCGCAGCTTCTGCGTCGCTATCCTGCGGGCGGGTTCCGATGTTCTTCCCAGTCATGGTCCTCACGAAGTGATACATCGCCGAACGACGCTAGAAAGCGATCGATCACCGATCCGTGCCCTTGAGCCAAAATGGTTACGGACCCTTTGAGAGTCTTCTTGGGCCTTCTTCGCCGCGCCAAGGAGGCCCCTGGAAAGCCTTCTGAGGCCCCAGAAACTCGTCGGAGTGCTCCTTTCTGCCTCTCCGGATCCCTCTTCGGTTCGTTCCGCCGTTTTCGACACCTTCGGGTGCCCTTTTGGGCCGTCTCCTGACCCTGTTCGGACCCTTTAGTGGCCTTCTTGGACACTTCGCCGCGTCTTTTTCGACCCTCTGGGGCCGTCTTCGCCCCCTCGCCCGAACTCCGCGCCGAGGTGGAACAGGGGCCGTCTCAGACCCTCTGGCGCGGACTTTTCCAGAGACCCCCTGGGACCTTCTTGTATCCCCGCCGCTCCCGCACTCTGGCATCTTTTCAACTCCCCTTTTCCTCCTCCGCCACGCCTCCCAAACTCCCCGCATTCCCAAAAAGCGCCGGCCGCCGGCCTGTGGCAGCAGCACCGCTACCACCATCACCACCACCCGCGCCCCTAGCGGCCCAGAGTGTCTAGCTCCCCACCCCTTCCTGCGATCCTCCCTCCGCCCTGTGCGCCTCCACGAATTCAGTGTCAGCATCACAATTCTTAATTCCATCTCTTGTCTGGCCGCACCAGAGACTCCTGCAAACACGCACGCGCGCATTCGATACCCCACGCAAGGCGCAAGCACTCTCCATGCGCATCCTCAGCGGCTACGTGCCGCCATCGCAACCACTGCCTCCGACAAGTAAGCCATGCCGCCTACAAGCCACAATGGCTACATATCCACGACTAAGAACCGCCTTCAACCACGGCACTGAGACGTGCAGTTACATGGTGTCCAACCCCTGCGAGCCTCCTGAACCCTCCAGGGGGAATTCTACCAAAACTGACCCGCCTCAGACGTCACAGACAAGCGAGCCAAATAAGGCCTGCAAAAGCTATGGGGCCTACCCCGAAGAGAGCCGTACGCATCAGAAGGCTCACAATCCCCACGACCCAATGATGCCTGCAAAGACTACTGGGCCTCCCCTGAAGAGAACAGTATGCTTCAGAAGGCCTCACAGCCGCACGAGCCCTGTGAGACCTGCAATGGATATATGCCCAACCATGCCAGTCAGTGTACAATGACAAGCTGGCTTGCGGAGCCTGGGAGCCCCCTGAGCACCCCAAGGGGAAATGTAGTTAGAACGGCCCGCCTGAAATGTCCAAGAACACCTTGCCCAATGAAGACTGCCAAGTCTACGAGGCCTCCAGGCTCTGGGAAAAAAATGGGGCGGCGGTGTCTTTCCCCTCAGGGGCGTCCAATTCAATAAAACATCGCTCTTGACTTCACTGATCCGGCTGATGAACCAACATGACACCTCTGACCCCCGATTGCGGCACCCGCGGGCATCTCTGGCAGGCGGCGTGCCCGGACCAGACGTGGCGGCAAAATCTCTGCGGCCTTCGAGGCTGGCGGTCAAGCGCGTGCCGTTTTGCTCAAATCCCGCCCACGGACGCGGTACCCCTTCGGCAAGTCCGCCCCACCCTCGTCGTGGTCGGCGGTGGGGCTGCCATCTTGAGCCATGGCCGGCGACAGCCCCGCCCGTGGATTGCCTCGCTCGACGCCGTTCACCACCCAGGGCGCGGTTGGGAAGATGTACCAGCTCCAGCAGCTGCGCTTTCTGCCAGCCTCTGCGGGGGCCAGGTGCGGAAGGCGGGCGAGAGAGAATAGCGGGGACAGGGCCAGGGGGCCGAATGGGGAGCAGGAGTGCTGGAGGAGAGAGCTAAGAGGGGAGAGGTAGAGGAGAGAGGGAAGGAGGAAGACGAGGTGATAGCAAGAGGACTAGATAGGAGAAAGAGGATGAAGAGGGACGAGAAACATTGTGATACTCTTGCGCCAGGTGCAAGGGGAACGAGACGGCGACGGCTACAACCAGACCAGCATAGTCAAACAGCAGCTGCATGTTTCCAAACGCCCCTGATATTGCGCGGCACGTGGCAATGGTAATCGAACCAGCAATCACAAGGAACATCACGAAAACAATTGTTGCTGTCCACACCCGAGGGGGAATTCGTACCGCCATTTTGGAGCGTTTGTGGTTTAGGGTGTCTCCTCTTCCAACACCCATTCCTTCCCTTTGGGGAATAGTTTACCCCTTCCGCTATCCCCTCCCCCTACATATTCCTCTGCATCCCTGATCAGGGCAACTCATCTGGGCATCGTGTCTGAATGGGCTGGATAACTGGCTTGCCCATTGGAGCGAGCTCTCTCGGAAAACAGTTTGGAACTCTCGTGGGGCATCCGTGCTGAAAGCCCTGTGGGAGTCCTTTTCATCCTGTTCGGCGAGTCCAGGCTCATTTGGAGGGCCGCCATGCGGTCTCTCGGGCCATCTTGGGCGACCGCTGGGCCGGTTTGGCGCTGTCTTGGGGCATGTTGAAGCTCTCGTGAGCGCCTCTTTTGCCGTCTCCGAAGGTCGGGAAGCAGAGCAAGCGACCACGCGACAAAACAGTGAAACACACATGGGGCATCAATGACGTTTGCCTGTTGGGGCTGCCTCGTGGAGCAGCTTGGAGCCCTCTTGGTCTTGGACGCCTTGCTGGCAGCATCGAAGCACTGGTGGGCGTGCTGGGGCCGTGCTGGGGCCCCGCAGGCCTTCCTTCAGGGCTTTTGTGACGCGTCCAAACTCATGTGGGGGACCGCCTTGGGCATTCTCGGGCCATCTTGGGCGTTCCTTGGGCCGTCTTTGTGCCCTCTTGAAATATTCGGAAGGCTTTGTTGGGCGCCCCTTTGTGCCATCGCCGGGCGTCGGGCCGCGGAGCGCGCGACCACAAGATAGTGCTTGAAAAGCCCAGGGGCATCGATCATTTTCGCCCCTGGGGCTTCTTTCGGGGATCAGCTTGAGGCTCCCTTGGAGCGTCTTGGAAACCACGCGGGCCGTCTCGAAGCAATGATCGGCGTGTCTGGGGCGTGTTGGTGCCTTCTGGCCCCCAGGAGGGCCTCTTTTCCGTTACATGCCTGCTCATATCTGTATGAGCTATGCACACAGCTGCCCTTATATATATATATGTGTATATATATACATGTACATGTATATGTTCATGTCTATGGACATGCGTAAATAGGTAGGTATAACAATAGATGTGGGCGTAAACGTGTATGTAATAGGTGTACACTTTCATATATACATTTATGGTTACATGAATAGGCATCTGCGTATACATATGTGCGTATGTATATCTATGTATGTATAACTGTAGGTGTATACGTGCGTATATATTAATATAGATACATATATCTATAATCATGCATGTATATGCGCATTGCTACATGTATACTGTACTGACGCGTTGGTTTTCTGACCGTCGCCGCACTAATGCGCAGTCCCGAGCGGGGCCTCTTCGGGGACTCTCGAAGCCTTTTGTTCTTGAGCCCTTTGCTTCACTGCGCGCTCCTCCGCGTCCCTGACCAGGGCAACTCGCTCCGCCACCGTCTTGGGGTGGGCTGGTGGGGTTACTCTTTTGGTCGCGGCCACGAGACGACGGTCAGGCGGCGAGGGCAACGTCCGGGCCACGGGCGAGGCTAATTGCTAAGCAGAGGCGCCGGCCGGCCCACTCAGACGGCGGCTGCAGGCTGGGTGACGCTGAACTGGCTGGCGTACTGCAAGCTCGGGCACGTGCACTGGACAAAGAACGCGAAGCGTCTAGAACTGCACAAACAGATCGGCGCGACGGCGCCTGGGGGATATCTGCATATAGATGGATGCGCCACAACAGCCAAGCAAAGCAGACACATTTGCACATTAGGGCGTGGATGAGGAAGACCATGCGGTTGAACAGGGCGAGGACGGCGAGGGGGACCGAGTGGAAAAAAGGAGGCTGCGGAATAAGAGGCGCAGGAGGAGGCAGGAAAAACTACTAGGATGAGGATGCACGGCTGGCTGAGTCGCAGGAGCAACTGGCGCCGCCGCGAAGTGGGAGCACTTGACTCGAAGGACGGCTGCAACCACGCGAATCAGAGGCATGGGCTAATTAGGAAGATCTGCATGGTATCTTGGGAAGTCTCAGTGGTTCCCTTGGAATCAATTTTGAAGCCTGTTTGGGCCCTGTTCGGGCCTGTCTGGGCGCCTCTTGGGTCATCTGTACGTGCTGTTCGGGGGCCTCTTGGGAGTCCTCTTGGGGCCCGCTGACGGTCTGAAAGGCTCTCTTAGGCAATTTTGAACCCCTGTTGAGGCCTTCTTGTGGCCGTCTTGGGCGCCTCTTGGGCCGCCTTGGGGGGCCGTTTGGGCCGTCTAGGTTGGTATCCTGGGGCCAGGTGGGGGGGCATCATGAAGCCCTCTGTGAGCGTCTTGGGTGGATCGGTGCTCTTCTCGAAACCAGTTTGGCGCGTCATGGTGCGCTCGTAGGGCGTCTGGGGCGGTCTCGAGCCGGTCGCGGCGGCCTATGGAGCCGTCCGAGAATCCTGAGGGCCCCGATCGGAAACCCTTGGGCCGCCTGGGGCACCCTCGCCACGCAATGGCCGTGGTTCTGGGCCCGCCCCCGGCCTACTCCGATGTATGCATGTATATAGGTATGTGTATGTACGTGTGTATATACATATATATATATATATATATATACACCTACCAGAACCATCGCGCGAAGCGCCGCTCAAGCTCTAGCTAGGCTGGATGGTCGAACTCTTGGGGGTCGCTAGTCCATGGCAATTCTTCTCCGGAGCTTCCAAGAACCACGAAGACGGCCCAAGTGGCTTCCAAGACTTCCTAAGGTCTACAGGGCACTTTCTAAGACTTCCTAAGGTCTACAGGCCTACACGGCTGGACGTAAACGGAGGAAAAGGGAGGAGAAGGAGAGGTGAAGGGGTCCCCTGGGGGAGAAGGAAAAGGAGGACGAGGAGTTGGAAAGGGCGGAGGAGGCCGCAGAGGAGGAGGAGGAACCAGAGGAGGATGAGGAGGAAGAGGAGGAGGACCAGTTTAAACCCAGGAGTCACCAACGATGTTTGCATCAACCCTCACCCCAAGCTCCCTCTTCATAGGCCGCTACAACGGTTCATTTCCACAGAGTGACCTGCCTCGTTGGAAGACAACCGTTTGAAGACCCTGAAGCATGCCAAAACATTATTCTCGGTATTCCAACGCCACAGATGAAACTGACTGCTGCTAGCGAACTCGAAGAGGCTCTACGGGCCGTCCCCCACGAGATGGCCTCAAAGATCTCGAATATGCCACCCTGAGGCCTCCAGCAGACACCCAGAAGCCTGCAGAGGGTCCCAAGAGGTCCCTCGGAAGCCTATAAAGGCTTTGACGAGGCTTCCCGGAAACCTCCAGGAAACCTCCAAGTGAGGCCCCAGCAGACCCGGCTACTAGATGCTAGCGGTGCACACTGCCACATGTCAAGGCCTTGTGCTGGAAACGCTTGTCCATGGCAGTCCCTTTGCGCACAAAATATGTCGGGTATATTATTCGGGGTCGGCGGACATGTACACGCCTCTCGAATAAGAGGCTTCTCCAATAGACCAGTCTTCCGGGCCGAGCCACTACTCTCGCGGGTACTGGAGTGCCCACGAGCGGCGCCCCCGACGAAAACGACGACGACGACGACACGGACGACACGGACGACGACGGACGACGACGACGACGACGACGACGACGAAGACGACGAAAACAACGATAACGACGACGACGACGACGGCGGCGACGATGTCAGGGGGACAACGGCGACGACGGCGACGACGACGGCGGCGGCGACGACGGCGGCGGCGGCGGCGACGACGACGGACGACGCCCACGATGACGACGACGGCGGCGGCGACGACGGCGACGACGACGACGGCGGCGGCGGCGGCGGCGACGACGGAGGACGGACTGCGGACGACAGACGGCGGGAAACGGACGACGGCTTAAGGAGAACGGACGACGACGAGGACGGCGCTTACGACGACCGCAACGATGATGACGACGACGACGACGACGACGACCGACGGCGGCGGCGGCGGCCTCGGCGGCGGCGCGGGGGGTAAGAGGGCTCAAGATAGCAGAACATGGCAGACAAGATGGCCCAACTTAGTTCGAAGTCTATATCCGAGATAGCCCCCAATATGTTTGAACATCGCTCCAAACGGTTTGCGCGGCCCCCATGACTGTGGGGGCGGTGCGACGCCCCAAAAAAAACGGCTGGTCCGGAGGGGGGCACAATAAGGGGAAGGGAGCTGGGGGTCCTGCTGGTGGTGGTGGGTGTGTTGGGGGGGGTGGGGGGGGCGATCTGGGTGGGCAGGGCGGTGGGGGCGGCGCAACGCCCAACACCGAAAAGCGGTCGGGGCGGAAGGGGGCACGCTGAAGGGTAGGGTGGGCAGAGGAGGGGGGGGCGGTGGGCGCGGTGCGACGCCGAAATTACATGGTCGGGCGGGGGGGGGGGGGAAAGGGCATTGGGCTGCTGGGGAACGCTGGGGTGAGGGCGGTGCCTCGCCGAAATAAAGTGGCAGGGGCGGATGGAATCACGCTGGGGGGAGGGGGGGGTGCGACGCCGAAATATAAAGTAGTCGGGGCGGAAGATGGCGGAGGAGGTCTGGGTGGACAGGGCATTGGGCTGGTGGGCAACGGCGAGGGCGGCGCAACGCCGAAATTGACTGGTCGGAACGGAGGATGTCGCACTGGTGGTGGTGGTGGGTGCGGGTGGGTGGGGGGAGACTGGAGC